CTTAACCAGGCTGACCAATTTGAGAATAAGGACCATCTACTTCACATTCAATGGTTGCATTTATGGGGTCGCCATTTTCATCTATTTTAGCAAACTTATACATGAACAGATTAGAGAAGGAATACGAGACGTCACTGCTGCAACCAAGGGTTCTCATGTGTTACCTGGAGGAATACTTTGCACTGGTCAGATGGAAGATAAAATTTAGATGATTTCCTTAAGTTTATGTATCAGATTCACAACGGAAGTGCGAGCGAGTAGGCTATCTTTCCCGGCTGCCGAAGTAACTCACTCAAATGGGACCCTCCAGGGTATTTGGTAGAGTGGGGTTGAGGTGTGAGGAGGTGGTTACTGAGACAAGTCTAGACGACTTCTAGGCGCAGCATGCGCGGTAATTACAATTATTTCTTAGATTTTGGTTACTATTATATTTGCACCATCATTTTTATTATTCATTTCCTTTCAGATATCAGGATTGTGCACCCAATGCCGCTGCCAATACTACATTAGCACTCGATTCAGCTAACCATATTGCTGATGGAATTCCATTTTATGACCAATCTGATATTTCTACCGTTAATACCAACATCGATTTTAATATTCCGAGTACCACTCTTCCTATGCCTTCGTGCGATGGCTCTCCTTCAATTTCAGCAACGGCATCCAAAATTACTTCGGCTTTCGCATTTGCAGCTGATCTACACAATATTGCAAAACGAACGCCCTCTGCCAAGTCCTCAGCGTCTACGGCCTCGCGGATCACATTGGTGAGCCTAGCCAGCACAGGTAGCCATATTGCTGTTGGCCGTGGCCCCCAAGTCAGTCATATGGCCGCCAATCCAGTAAATACAGTAAACATATCCATTGAAGTTAGTAATGGCAAGAACCGCGATCACTTGACAAATCGGCCGTTTAGGCTCCGAACCAGGACGTTGGCCAAAAACTCAAGTGTCGCTTTGGCCACCGCTGCTACTGCCATTGCAAATCTCAGCGGAGGTTGCACAGGAATGCCACTGGGAGTGACGCGAGCTTCATCAGCTGCCTCGGTTCATAATCACTCGACCCAGATGCAGACGCCCGTTGCTATCTCTTCATCCAGCCAGCAGGCATTATTTACCACCACTTTAAGTAGGTCAGAGCCTGCTGGGGCTCTAGGTCTGTTTAATTTTTTACCTTAATAATGCATTCACTGTCCTATTTCATAGTTGAATTATGAGCCATAATTTTTAGAATATAGGCCATTAATTATGCACATGTCTACTAAGTTCTCCAAATGCTAAAAAGTGTTTGT